ACATGGCGTCTGGCTTTGCCGGCAGATGTTCAGGTTCAGTTCAGGCGTGACTTATGAGAGTTTCTGCGAGCACAGTGCCTTAGTGCTCACGCCCCACACCTTTCATGTTTTTCAGGTCGCAGGGTCGGAGATGAGGAGTGAGCGGGCGAGCCGTTCAGGACATTTATGTTATTTGTACTTATGATTTGCCACGCTAGACTTCCGCTAAATCTTTTCAGTACTTTTTATCAGACTTTGTTCCGATGTTTGCCGGATAAGACATTATGACCGTTTTATTTATCAGTTTAAAAATTTTAACGGTTTTTAGAAAATCAAGTTTTTCACGGTAGCATCCCGATCAGTTTTCGCAAAAAAAAAAAAAAAATTAGTATCTTATTTAATTATTCAGAAAATTTGCGAAAAATCGCGCACTCTGATGTATTAAAAATAGCGGGGTGTTACAAAAACATTGGTCTAAACCCCTTTTCCGAGGACCTTTCTAGGGCCTAACTTGGAATTGCTTGAGTTCTTTTAACAGAGACTAGATTGGAATTTCCCTTTATCTAGGAACAAAGGCACTCCAGTTCTTGTTTTCTTTATCGAGAGAGTGGAGGTCAGTAGTGTACCGCAGTTCGAGTTGTGTAGCCAGTTCCTCTTTCTTTGCTCTCTCTTTGCGAATCCGAATCACTAATATGATAGTAGGAGTGGCAAAGCAAAGCCCTTTCTGAATCCGACTCATAATATGCTCTTTCTTTCCTTGGCGAGTTTCTCCTAATGGTCTATCTGGGGATAAAGAGGCAAGTCCACAATATAGCAGAGCTAGTGAGATCGAGGATTTGCGCGAGTTGAGGAGTCTCTCCTAATGGCTCGATGTAGGTAGAGTAAGTTTAAAATCCGGCCTAGAGTAGGCCATCTAGGGAAAATACTACTCCTGAGCTCTGGTTAACCCCGAAGGGAGTCTTTGGCGCGCGTGTACATAAAGGGTTGGGCCCTGCATTCATCCCTTCGTAACGTGCCTTTCTCTATCCCACCGGCTAGATCAATCAAGGAATCAAAGGATTTCTCGCTCAAACGGATCCCTTCTAATCCCTTTTATTCCCTGCCCGGCAAATGAAGGCAGATTGGTGGAGCTGAGTTATCGGTCTCAGACCCCGAAAGCAGGGGTAGCAGTAGCTATCTTATCCTTCTCTGGAAATCGACCCATCAATGTCATATATCCAAAAGGCTCGTTAAGACCTTGTGATTGATTGTTAGGCCAGTTGTCTTGGTTGGAACTATATATGGGGTTCATCCAGATCATTTACTATGCCAAGTTTCCCTACTTTCCTTTCTGTCTTGTCTGGGTAATACCCGCGCTTTCCGTCTCTAGGTTTCTCTTTAGCAGATATGTCAAATCGAGGGTCGATGTAATTGAGTTTAGCAAAGTCTCAGACCAACAACAGAAGCAAGAATTGATCCGCTTCCCTTGTTGCGTTGTTATAGTATCCAACAACTCTATTTCCTTTTGGGGAGGAGGCCTTAATAGAGTATCGAAACACACGACAACTTATGAGACCGATAATCCCCTTCTCCATCAGCCTCGGACAAAATTCCTTCTGACAACATCATACCTTTTCCGCGCCGCAACAATTGAGTGCATTTCTCCCTTTAGATCAGAGCTTTCCAGGGACTTCCACTTACGGCCTAGCTACCAACTCTTTGACCAATACCTCCGAACCAATCCCAGATGCCAGTCCTCCGCCTTTAACTACCAAGCCAAGAGGTGGAACACACCACCCATCCCTGAAAGGATTAGCTTATTAAACTCCTTGGCTACTAGACAAGCTCAATAGATCCTGTTGAAAGGTGTACACCGTAGGGCTTGTCTTTCCTAGTCATATGTCGTTATTGTACAAGGGGCTCAGATAGGACTGTTAAATGTTGGGCTTCGATCGGGGTTCGGAACAACCACTGCTCCCCACTTCTCGCGCTCAGCTACTAACTCACTGCTCTCGGCCACTTCGATTAGCTACTAGCTCACTGGACCATTGTTGGGACATATGAGGATCTCGATATGCACAAATCATAGACAAACATTCAACATAAACCTATGCGCAGCAGATCTAAAGGTTTGATGAAGAAAACTTATTGCTTAAAATTTATGTAGTTCTGGCTGGCCCGAACAGTTGACCGCAAATCAAATCTTCTCGGAATCGAACAAACTTTACCAATCAAGAAAGCTGACGTCACGGCGAAGTCAACGACATTGACTGGTCGGAAAACGAAGCTTCCACGCGCTCTCACGCGCGCGATTGAGTTCCAGTGGCTGCTCCCTTCCTGTGGCGCGTGGCGGCGCGTGCGGCGGAGGCTGGCGGCGATCTCGACGGTGATCTCTTCGTCTCGTCGTCCTGGTCGTCGTGGTATGGTCACTTGCTGGTTTTGGTCTCCAGTTTGGATGTATGATAGATCTGATTGGAATCCCGTATATACCTTAAGATCTTCTACTGTATTCTCAAACAGCTATCTAGATCTTGTATCAGTGGAGCACAAGAAATAGAACTACTCCTTAGAAGAGAGAGAGAGAGAGAGAGAGGGTGTAACACCCCACTTTAATTTTAAAGAAATTCTGGACTTTTTAAATATCAGTGTAAAATTTTTCGAACTCATTTTCGAAAATTCAATGGGTGTTAAACAACATTTTTCATAACCCAAGTCTTATCTGGGCTCACGGGGATTCATTACCCGGTTTTCACAAACGGTTTTCATTAACCGAAACACATCACGAGACATAATACTCAACATGCATATATCATCAACCATAATACCCAACAATCCAGGTTCCACAAATTTTCCAAAACAACAAATCATAGGTTTTTGGAAAATATCATAATCAAGTCCCAACATAATGGTTCATAAAACCTTATTCATACGG